AGCAAATCCCACCTTGGAGTTTACAAAGACTTATGGGTAGAAAAGCCACACTAAGTAATTTACTACACTGCAGGTACATAGTGGTCTTTAATGGTGGCTAAGGTAGACGAGATGAATTGACACAGTGGCTCCAACAAACTCTAACATAGCAATGATTTTGAGTGTGGTTTAAGAACGGGTAATGTTTCATTCTGTTGTTTATACACAGGGTCACTGTGAGCTGGAACCAACTCAATGGTACCTATCAACAACAATGGTGGCTTAAATTTGCATTTCCCCACTGATCAATCAAGCTTAGAATCTTTTAACATTTATTGGCCATTTGGTTACACTGCTTTTTTGAATGTCAACTTCAGCATTAATATAATCATCACACTGTATTTTTGTTAAGCTTATAAACTGTCACAATATTTTCTTGGTGGCTCCAGCTGACTTCCTCGGAAGTTACTTTCCTTGACCTTTTCTAAAGAGTTATGTTAAGTTCTAAATCTTACTCCTGGCTCTACTATTTAATAGTCATGAAGCCCAGGGCAAAGACCTCAGTCTCTCCATCTCCAAAAGGAAAGAATTGTACTATATGATTTTTAAGTCCCTTCTAGCCCTCCCACATTTCTCAACTCTTCTTTTTGTTACCTTCCGAAGTTTCTAGCACCCTCCACCTTCAAGTTCTACTGCCTATCTCTCATTCTAAATGTCTTGCATGTCTTACCTCTTTTAGTTTTTCATCACAGAGATCCAGCATGGATTGAGATATCTGAGTCAATGAATGCTTTGGTCCTAAATTATACAGAAACAGTAAGAGATTGCATCGTTAAAAATGGGAGGTTAAGAGCTGCCACCATCCCTCCAACCTTTCAACATGTTTACTTAAAACCAGTTTCTGTCAAGCCAGTTCTGACTTATGATGATTTCTATGTTTGTATTAGGGCAGAACTTTGCTCCACAGGGTTTTTTTTTTTTTAACTTTTAGTGTGGCGAAAACATAAACAACAAGACATTTGTCAACATAACAACTTCCACATTTATAGCTCAGAGATATTTATGACATTTCCCATAGAGTTTTTAGTTACTGATTTTTCAAAAGAAGATCACCTGGCTTTTCTTCTGAGGTGACTCTCAGTTGACTTGAGCTACCAACTTTTTGGGTAACAGCCAAGAGTATCAACCATTTGCACCATCCAGGAAGACTCCATTTTTTCCTAAGCACCTAATATAGACTGGGCACCAGCCTACCTGCTGGTTTAGACAGAGACACCAGTTTTATCTCCATTTCTTAGGGCCTAACACATAGTAGGTACACAATATAGATGAATGAACTAATTTTAACTCTACTTTGTGTGTACCCATTGCTGATACCTTAAAAATCATACTATGATAAAGACTGACAACTTGTTCAGGGATGACTGAAGAGATCAATACATGATTTATAATCTTTCCACACTTAGCATATAAAACATGTGACTACAGTTTGTTTGTAGAACAAATGGTTTGGGAAGTTCTTAAAACATATGGCTAATCCAAAGTGTCTGTTATAAAACTATCTCCTTTCCACAAAAGGTTTATATATGGAAGGAAAATTTTCTTTGTTGGCTACCAGGGGTGGATGAGAGGTGAGGGAACACTGTAAAAACAAAAAAATAAATAAATAAATAAAATATCCTTTCCACATTAGACTGTCATGTTAGTTTTCCTGAAATTCCTATCAAAAGTTTCAGAAAATCCTTTAAGTATCTCTCACCCTCCCTGTTTACAGCTGGCCTAATTTAAGCTCTTCATAGGAATAATTAACACATTTTGATCTAGCCAGTAATTCTTCCTATTCCTTTTCAGTATCCTCTGCTAGATTATCTTCGTATCTCTATCCTTTTGTGTGAGAGTCTAAATCTCATCTCTATTCTCAACAACTATATATTGAATTCAGCATTCATTTGTCTAACCATTCAACAAACATTTTCTGACTGTGTTCAATGAAAGGAATCTGAGGAAAAATAATGCACAATTCCTATTTTAGAGTTTCTTATTTAATCAGAAAAGAATGACATGAAAACAAATAACAAGGATAAGTTCTTGACTTAGCTATGGATGAAAGACAGAGTATCTGGGAACATGGATGAAACAGACCATATGCTCATAATTGTTAAATTGGGTAATATATGTATATGTATGTATATATGTATGGTGTCTGCATATATATAAATATTTGTTTTTGTTGTTTGCCGTCGAGTTGACCTCGACTCATAGCAACCCCTCCTTGGGTTTCCAAGGCAGTATCACTACAGAAGTAGGATTGCCCAACCTTCCTTCTGAATATATATATATATATATATGACAATTTCCATAATACATTTTTTAAAATGAGTATAAAATAAAAATGGACAAATACACTGGTTGCTATGAAATAAGGTTACACACAATTAAATCTACTTATTGGGAGCTCTGGTGGTGTAGGGGAGCTCTGGTGATGTAGTGCCTAAGGCATCTGACTGCTAACCAGAAGGCTGGTGGTTCAAACCCACCAGTCACTCCTCGGAAGGAAAACTGGGCAATCTACTTCCATAGTGATCCCACCTTGGAAACCCAAAAGGAGGTCAGGCAAGGCTTGTTGTGACTGACATTTGAGCAGTCATTTTATTAATAAAGAGCAGAAGTTCATCAGGTAGATAATAGGGAAGGGCATTCCAGAGGGAGGAAAACTACGCAAACATACAGAAGTAAGCAAATTTATAGAAACATGAAACAGCACATTTCATACTAGGAACCGCAAGATGTTTGGTATAACTGGAATAAAGGTACATGTGGGAGAGAGACAGGAAATGAACTAGGAAAGACATGAGGGACCATATTACATAGGCAACAGAAAGCATAGTTCTCACAGACAATAAAAAGCTGGAAAATAATTTTTCAAATTTGTGCTTTATAAAAAAAAATTCTGTCAACAGCGTGAATTAAGGTGAAAAGCAGAGGAAAAGTGTGGAAACTGTTATAAGAGATCAAACAAGATGACAAAGGACTCCAACTAACAGCAATGGAGACAGAAAGCAAGCAGATAGTTGATGCAAAATTTAGAAGGTACAACTTATAGGACTTGGTGATTTATAAGTGTGGGGAACAGGGAGAAATCAATGATGACTAAGATTTCTAAGTTGTAGATCTAGATGCTATTGTTAGGTACAGTTGAGTGGGCTCTGACTCATACTGACCCTATGCAACGAAAGACTGCCCGGTCCTGCACTATCCTCAAAATCCTTGCTATGCCTGAGCTCATCATTGTAGCCACTATGTCAATCCATGTGTTTGAGGGTCTTCCCCTTTTTCAATGACCCTCTCTACTTTACCAAGAATAATATCCTTCTCCAGGGAATGGTCCCTTCTGACAACATGACCAAAGCAGGGAAGATGAAGTCTAGCCATTCTCACTTTCAAAGAGCATTCTGGCTACATTTCCTCCAGGACAGATTTATTCGCTCTTCTGGCAGTTCATGGTATTTTCGGTATTCTTCACCAACACCACAATTCTTCAGTTTTCTTTATTCATAGTCCAGCCTTCACATACATATTAGGCATTCAAAAATACCATGGCTTCAATTAGGCACACCTTAGTTGCCTCAGAAACCCAAGGAGGGGTCACTATGAGTCAGTTGGCACAGTAACAGGGCTGGGGTGGAGGGTAGACGAAGAATGAGGATTAACTCCTAATAGAGTGTAAGGTATCTTAGTGGAGATAAGCATGTTCTAACGTTAGATTATGATGATGGTTGTACAACTCTGTAAATATACTAAGAAACATTTAATTATACACTTTAAACAGGTGAACTACATGTTATGTAAATTATTTAAATAAAAAGCATTTCTAAAATGTAGCCACTGGATCCAGCAATTAGGAGGTCTCTAGTACTTTAGTAGAAGGCAACTGCAGTGCTCGAAGGAGTGAATGGAAGGTGAAGAAATGGAGAGGAGTATATGGAGCATGATGGCTAAGAGCACAAGCTATGGCATTAGATACACCTATATTCACATCTCTACTCTGCCACATTCTAGATGTGACCATCTTGGTCAGGTTATTTAAATACTATATACCCATGTATTCATCTGAAAATGAGGATTATAATGGTACCCATTTCAGAGATTTCTTATAGTGAAATAATGACATAAAGAAGATAATGCAAGTAAAGTACTTGGTAGAGGTGTGATACTACTAGTACTACCATTCTAAGCATTGGGACATGAGGAAGAGAGAAGAGTTAGCAGTGAGGTGATACAACGTCATGTGGAGGTTACAATTTTTAAATTCCCATTTTTTACTAACATCTCCACCTCAATCTCATAGGTGTTTTAATTTATGTGCTTTCAAATTCAACTCTTCCATTCTCATCTGGTTTTTAAGTAGTTATCCTTGCAACCTGAATAACAGTTAAGCCTAACATAAATTTATTCTTTAGATCCTTTCTCTATGTGTGCTCTGCTATGTCCTGGGAAAATAACGGTGGTGGGAGAGTTAAACATATAAGTAACTATGGTATAATATACCAAGAGCTATAAAAATTGATTTAATTGTGCTAGGAGCTCTGGTAACACAGTGTGCCAGGCATCTGACTGCTGACCAGAAGGTTGGTGGTGCAAACCCACCAGCCACACTCCATGGAAACAAGACTGGGCAATCTACTTCTGTAAGGATTTACTGCCTCAGAACTCAATGCGGGTTGCTATGAGTTGGAATTGACTAAATGGCAGTGGGTTTGATTTGGTTTTTGATTTAGGGGGCACAAAGAATGGAGAAATATTTTGGCAATTTAAATAAGTCTTCACAAAGAGATGATATGAGTTAACCTCAGAAATATGAACATAAGCTCACAAATGAAAGGGAAGAAAGGACATTCCAGGCAGAGGGCAAAGACTGTGAAGACTTGAAGGAACAGCTTGGGCTATTTAGTGAAATACAATGGTCAGTGCAGTAAATAGTGAGTATGGGAGTCAGTCAGTAGAGATAAATGGGACAGGGACTACCTATGAAAGGTCTTAAAATCTAGTTCCTTTCAATGCAAAATTTAAAGAACCCACAAAAATTCCAACAGCCTTATTATTTGCAGAAATAGAAAAGCCAATCCTCAAATTTATATGGAAGGGGAAAGTACTTTCATCTATCTTGAAGAAGAATAAAGTAGGAGGTCTCAATTTCCTGATTTTATAATATAGTATAAAAACCACAGTAATTAAAACAGCATGGTAGTAATGTAATAATAGACATCAAGACCAATGGAAGAGAATTAAGTCCAGAAAAAAATACATATGTCTATGATCAACTGATTTTCAAAAAGCATCAAGTAAGCTCAGTGGGGGAAGAGTCTCTTCAATATGGTGCTGGACATAGTTCAAAATGTGTTGGTCCTAGTTTGGTTAGTAGTGTCTAGGATCTTGAAAGCTTATGAGAAACTATCTAAGATATAATTATTGGTCTCTACTGGTCCGGAGCAAAGGAGAAAGAAGGAAAACAGAGACTCAAAGAAGAAACTAGTCTATAGGACAAACAGGCTACATGAACCATGGCCTCATCTACCCTGAGACCTGAAGAACTGGATGGTGCTCGGCTACCATTACCCACTATTCTAACCAAGGTCACAATAAATAGACCATGACAGAATGGGAGAAAAATGAGGAACAGAACCTCAAAATCCTAAAAAACAAAGAAAGAAATCAAACAAACAAAACTTCCTGGACTGGTTGGGACTGGAGGACTACTTGAAACTACTGCGAAGATACTTTTCAAGTCCTGAACCAAA